CACTCACTCACTCACTCACTCTCTCACACACACACACACACACACACTCACTCACTCACTCACACACACACACACACACACTCACTCACACTCACACACACACACACACACACGATGCAGGACCCTCAGCCGCAGCTGTGTTCAAAATAACCTGACTGCTGCATGCTGGGAAATTTGGCAGGAAGATTCAGAGCAGAAGAGCCGCTTTACACCACTAGTGATGTGTACAGAATAAGAAATCTCTTATTCAAATACCACATACCATCACTAACCATACGCACTGACCAAAAAATTTGTGTAGAAACAATTTTCACTCAGAAATTGCTAGTAAAAAAAAAAAAAATAAAAATTACAAGAAACGGCAAGTAACACTGAATTTAAATAATTTTTAAGAAGAAAAATTTTAATATAATGTAACCCTCTTTTTTGTTTGTTTTGTTTTTGTATTTAGAAATGATGTTTTATCTTGCTTAATAATAACAATGAATACCTGTATAGCATCTTCCTTTTTTTTTCTTTAAATGTATTCTACAAATTTTGCAATATTTTATTCTTGTAATAAATCGCTTAAAATCAATCATTTTATTTTATATCAAATATATATCAGTCTCTCTGCTTAATATATATCAGCACCGGCCGCTGCCAAGCCCCCAGCGGTCAACAACTAACTAAATCCACAGAAATCAAATATATTCCTTCAAATATTGCCACAAGTTCCTGGTTTGAAAAGATTGGTTCAGGTCGTGTTAGCAGAGGTGAGGTGAGGAGATCTGGAGCCGTTCCTGGACAGATCGTCTGTTTTTCTTGTTCTGAGGATTGATGAAGAACGCAGACCTTGAGCAGGCGTCGCTTCACGAGCGGTTGTAAACGCAGCCATCATTATTCATTTCTGCATTTTTAACTTTCCCCGGGAGCTGCTGAGAACGTGGCCATTTATATCACTTGCCTTGGTCTTATTTATTGATGAACTAGATGTGCGATAAATAATGCAATGAACACAAGGAATCACAGTTAGGCTTGTTGAAGCGATGTAGAGGAATCATGCTTGAAATCTCACAGGTATAAAAAGGCTGTGCGATCAAATCATCTGAACTGACACTGAGTACAAACCAGCTGTGAACACAACTCTTCAACGCTTATGCTTCTCAAAGAAAGCATATTTATAATCAGGCAAAGCTCCACCTATTTTCAGCAACATTTTACTCTACATATACTGTCTGAAGCAAAGCATGCTGGGAACTAGAAATCTGCCGCCCAAATTGAGTTAATGCTGTCAAAAAGACAAATCCATTAAATATATCTTTCACAAATTGAAATGCATTCCACACAATGAAATTAGGTTCTGATAAAATGGTTATGAATTGTGCTGCATTAGCTCATTTTAATTCAATTTTAGTTGAAAATTTCCCCTAAGTGCTCCTTTTGTCATCAGTATGAAGAAACTATTAGACATTTGTTTTGGGACTGTTTTTATTGCAAAGCATTTTGGGTTGACTTTTCAAATTTCATTAAAAAGAATATATGCAAACTTTATAAGCAAAAAAAAAAAAAAAAGCCTTCTTTTTTATTTTCAAGAAAGATATAGGTGTATACCTGAATTGCATTTTTCAGTATATTTGTCTTTGTATTTCTAAATGTTATTTAATCTTGCATAATAATAATAATAATAAATATATCTGTATAGTTTTTCTAAAAAATATTTATTGCACAAATGTTTTCGTAAATTATACCTCTAATAAATGACTTAAAATCGATAGAAATAACAGAAATTCTAATAACTGATTCAGTTCGAGTTCTGCTTAATATATTAGTTACTTATTAGCAATAATTGAATGGAATTAACTTCTTTCATTCAGTAAATTTCACTGTTGGGTTTTCAATCAATCAACATTTCTATAGCACATTTAAAAACAACACAGTTTGGTTTTTGGTGTAGTTTAACTTCTAGCTTCGAACACATTCAAAGCAGCTGAGTGTCATCATAACCAGTGACAAAAAACTTGTTGTGTTTGGAGTCTATTTATGCGAGGTCACGCACATGATTGGCTCCGCCCACAGTCAGCTCTCATTGGTCCATAATCCGCTTCCATATGACTATATATAGAACACAACAGTGACCGTGAACCACTTCGTTTGACGTCATCGAGTCTCCCAACACTCTCACAATACTTGTATAGTTGTAAATATTTAAGTTATTCAAAGCAGCTGAGTGTCATCATAACCAGTGACAAAAAACTTGTGTTTGGAGTCTATTTATGCGACGTCACGCACATGATTGGCTCCGCCCACAGTCAGCTCTCATTGGTCCATAATCCGCTTCCATATGACTATATATAGAACACAACAGTGACCGTGAACCACTTCGTTTGACGTCATCGAGTCTCCCAACACTCTCACAATACTTGTATAGTTGTAAATATTTAAGTTTTTTTAATTGCACAAATTTTGTTATATATTATTCTTATAATAAATGCCTTAAAATAGCTAGTTTTATTTGTTATCAAATATATATTAATTAACACAGTCTGAATTAAATGGTAAAATAGCGCCGAAAAACTGTGCGGCGGTCACTGTTGCGCTCTATATCACATTATTCATTGGCTTTCAGCACGAACAGATGGATTACTGATCTGTCACTGACGATTTGTCGCTGATCGTGTCGCGCCTGGTTAGGACACGGTTTAAGTGAGACAAATCCACTGCCGTGTCGATATGAAAACCACAGCGCAGGGCTTCCCCAATAATTCACTTTAATTGCAGCCTTCATTCAAGTGAGAGCAGTTTATTTACTGTATTCATTAACCTCAAGACACTGTCAATCAGCTGACACAACATGGTTAGTGAATAACTCTAAAACCACAAAACACACACTCTAAAAAATGCTGGGTTAAATACAACCCAGTGCTGGGTAAAATAGGGACAAACCCAGCAATTGGGTTGTTTTGACCCAGCGGTTGGGTTACTACCCAGAATGTTGAGTTAAACATTTAACCCAACCGCTGGGTCAAAACAGCCCAATTGCTGGGTTTGTCCCTATTTTACCCAGCACTGGGTTGTATTTAACCCAGCATTTTTTTAGAGTGCACCACTAACATCCGCTGAGATTTCTACAAATCAATTTCCAACAAAATGTCATTAAGGAATCGCTGTTTTTAATAAATGCATGTTAAAACACACATATGCAAAATCACGCCACATGAGCTCTTTAGCATGCATTAACCACATATCTATGATCATCACAAACCCATAATCTAATAGCGTTCAGATTCCATCACCTGTCAATCAGAGCGACGAGAATAAAGCCTTCTGATAGACTACTGTGAAAAACATGAAGCACTGCTCTTTAATAGCAACACAATATCCTCTTATCATATCAATCATCAAAGATGAGACATTAAATTCAGAAATAAAAGCACCACTATGGCTGGAGTCAGTAATACGATTGCTTTTATCATTAATATGATGTATTACACAAGTAAACGTGTGGGGTTTGAACGAGAGGGTGAGAAGAACCTCCTGCTGATGCAACTTTTTTTTTTTTAACACAGCTTTGTAAATTGGATCCATTTATTAGGAGCGGATAAGACAGCATTCATTTCACAACGCACTAACACACCGTTCCGCTGAGCACACTTATGACATGTGATGGGCCCTGAAAACCAGCCTGAAATACGTGCAATTTTATACGCACAAGTTGCATTGTGGGAACAAACATCAAGAGATGGGCTTAAGAGCGAACCGCTGTAGATCTCAGCCTCTCGACATGCGCTGCCATAAAAATGTAGACTAAAGTAAAATATGCTTTAATAATCATGCACGAGGTATGGATCTTTGATGCCTAAAAATGAGTCATATTAAAAAATTAGATTATATTGAACAAATGTGGAGAAGAGAATAAAGACATTAATAAAGCAGACCCGTTCGACTGTGATACAAGACTGCGATTTACTGTTGGGTCGCTATGACATGATCACACTTACAGAGGGAGGTAATGGGATCATCAATAAGATGCTGCGTGCTTTAATAAACTGCATGCACTTGCCCAACCCCATGCAAAACTCGCCTTTTTTCTCCGTTTTTTGTTCTTAAAATACACTTGAGTGATTGAACCAGCTGACTGTGTATTTGGAAGACGTGATGGTTCGATGAGAAGTGAGGACGAACCGGATCATAAACAGGAAAGCGTAGCCTTTTCAAGATAAAAAAAAAAGCTTTTTAAGTCTCCAGGCAGCTGCAAGTTGTCAGAAAGACTTGCATCCGATGATGAAACTTCACCATAAAATGTTTTATTTCAGGAGAGCCTTCAGAAAGCTGTTTTGCTGTCACATTAATGCTCTGATGTTATTATCAGCAGCAGCAGGATTTTGTCCTTTCTAAACAGCTGCAAGGAAACTGTTCTCTTATGATGCATAAATGTGAAAATAAAATTCTGCATTCTTCACATTGGGCCAGCATGAAGTGAGAAGATGAGGGTCAGTGTCTGATATGGGTGTTACTGCTCACATAGATGCCTGTTTATGGGAGACTTTAATATATATTATACTCAGTGTACTGAAAACAAAGAACAGTCATAATTCTGCATCAGAGAAATTATATTTTAATTGAAGTGTTAAGTAGTATTTTCCAATATGTGCATATGGTATCAATTTAAAATTGCTTCCAGGAGACAGATTCACACACACACACACACACACACACACACACACACACATGCATGCACTTTAGATACAGTGCGTGAACTCATAAATGATACTAGATATATTTAAAACGCTACGCGAACTTGCATCCTAAGATTATTAAAGTTCTTATCAGATTTTTAAGAGTAGGCTATTCCAGGAGCGCACCACCTGAAATCATACATTTTTTCCGCTTTATGGTTATTTTATGAAAGACCAGCGCTAAAACAATCACGCGCAATTACTCTACCAAGTTCTGATTTGGAACGCAGCCCACAATGTTCTCATTTACAGACGCTGAACTCACAGAAACGTGCTTCATACCTTTCTTAGAATCCACTGGATGAGCAGCAGAACGCTCCAGCAGAGCAGCCTCATCGCACCTTTCGTTCGCGACCTCCGAGAGAACACTAGTCCCGTTGAGCAAACATATACCGGACGCAGATCATCCGAGAGGAGAGGACAGAACTCGAGGCAGGTGGCTTGACTGAGTGTGAGAATACACCAGCGCTCTCGGGGTTATTAAGGCAACCAAGGAGGTTCAGCTCTTGAGGTCCTTGTCATTAGTGAAGTGCACATTCGTTCGCGTGTTTACGGAGGTGAGAAGTTGGCAACTTGTGCTGTCAGCTGGCGCGTAATGCCCTCATTACCGCACCCGTTTGCTGTTTAAAGAAGAAACTGTGTTGCGTTGCCTCTCACTCGAAAGCGCACGCCCAGTGTCGACTTTGCGTCTTGTTCTCTCCGTTCTCCCTCTCTTTCTCTCTTTACCGCTGAACGTGAGAATATCGATTTTAAACGCCAACAGGTCAAACAAACCTCTCGCGCGTCTTTTATCATCGCTTCGAGCACGCGTACGGAGCGGTGCCAAAAGCTGGCGCGCTTCTCAGATTCCAAAATGAATTTTGCATTCCCTAAAAAAAAGTTTCCTCGAGTTATTCAACGCGTACGGTTGTGCTGTGCTTCTTTCAAGACGCCTAACTTGGCAAAGTACAAACAGCATGAAAGAGATGAACAAATCTTCCCAAAGGCGATTTTAAATTTGAATGGCTTTCAAGTGCATCTTGTCTCACAGCTGTTACAATATGAAACGCGCAATCTGTGCCGACAGCGCGAGACCTATTCGGTTCGGAGTAAAGATGACTTTTATTTTTCTCGTCAATTCCACATCCTTAAAAGCATCGCTTGCGCACAAACACAAGCAGAGGATGACCGATTGTGAGGGTACGTGTCAGCAGAATGCATAACCTTGGGCAGGGAATAAAGGCGAGGAAATAATGACTTTTATTTTTCTCGTCAATTCAACATCCTTAAAAGCATCGCTTGCGCACAAACACACAAACGCAAGCAGAGGATGACCGATTGTGAGGGTACGTGTCAGCAGAATGCATAACCTTGGGCAGGGAATAAAGGCGAGGAAATAACGCAATCTTTAATAACGAACACAACGCCTCAAAGTTTCTGTCCATCATCGCGCATCTGATAGAGCTGCAGATGGAGAGCAATGAAGCCCTCCATCGCCCCCTTGCGAAAACATCTGAATCTCGATTTGCAATTAAACCACCGCCTGGCTGTTTTTCATAATTGTGAGAGAAAATAATAATGACCTAAAAAACTCAAAGGACAAAAACATACTAAAATGCGCGAGCTACAGCTAAAAGGCGACTGAAAATCCTCCAAAGAACACATTTTCACAAATGTACCCCATTTTCTGATTAAATTGCCTCCATGGATACGAGGGGCGGCGCTAGGGGTGAGCTAAACTGAAGCCCCGAATATTTTACAAGATTGAGTTTTCATGCGCATTAAAATCATTTCTATTAAACCAGCACTTAAACAGCAAAATGCAGCTGCTTCAGGTATCTGTAAACTTACTGTAGCCTATAAATTCATAATAACGACCTCACCATCTATTAAACTTAGATTATTGTTACAGTATAGCAACAAGTATCGATTTTGAATCATGGTATTATATGCATTTAGACCGATTATATAAACAGATTGGTTAGAATTTAGCATGGTCTATGGCAGACTTTTCTAAGTGTCAGAGCAACAAAATTCAATAACACAGATAGCACACGTCTGTTAAAGATCGCGAAAGCATCTGCTGTGTACAAACACCTGATAGACGTCTTTAAGATGTCAGTTTTCAATCATAAACATCTTAAAGACATCTTTTAAATGTCTATTTGACATCTGATAGGAAACGTCCTATAGACATTTCGCAGATGAGCAAACACTCTAAAAAACACGATTTAAATGCGATGTCAAATAGACGTCTCTGTGATGTATGTTTGCTAGCAGGGAAACAAGAAGTTAAGTGATTTCATTTGTTGAGAAAATAGACTTTTTGCTTTATTCCGTGAAAATGGTTGTAAACAAAGCCATGTTGTGCATCTCTGCACACAGCAGTGTTTCGTTACTGAATGAATTTTCATTGAATTCACTGACACATTCATAAAAAAAACAGTTTATTACTTCGTTGCTGAATGAATCAGCCGTTTTGAACGAATCGATTGAATAAATGACTCAACGACTCAGTCATTAAGTCAGTGGCTTCCTGCCACCTACTGGCAATTTTAGTCTTCATATTTCTGTGTTCTAAATTTTATATTTAAAACATTAATGTCATAGTATTATTTAAGCAATTTGTAAGTGCAAATTATAATTTAAAAAATTAAGCCACTTTGCCATTTTAACTTTTCAACATAGCCTATTTTATTTGAAGTGTATCCCGTGTATTCTGATACATTGGGTGAATTCAGGTAAAGTGGGCCACTTTTTGTAAAACGTGTAATTTAGATACCTAGAAGTTTTTTTTATTTATTTTCTTTTCTTTCTAGACAGACATATTTAACCACGTATTTAACAAACACAAAAATATATAACCTATAGGTTATGAGTAAAATAAATCGTGTGTAAAATTCATGTGTGAAATTCCAAACTGAAAGAACATGTTCTGTTGGCATTAAATTTGATGAAATATCAGAATATTCAGAAATCAGAATATTGATAAAAATGAACTCTACAATATATTCAAAATGTGACAACACAAGCAAGAACAAATAGGCAAAAAAAAATTAACAAGAGGAACATTTAAAATGGTAACCACATGTAACATTGTTTTTCTGTCTATGTTCTCTGAACACTTTAATTGCGATCATATTTTGAGCATTATATTCTGCATGTATATTTTGCTCCTCTATTCTTTCTTCTCTCCTCGCCTTCCTTTCTATTCTCTCTTTCCTTTCTTCCATCTCTGACTGGAATTTCCTGACTGCAGTCTCATTTCTGTTTGCTAAAAAAGTAAATTATACATGTCAGCTATAAAATAACCAGAATGTCGATTTAATGAATTTGCAAGAATAGGCAAAAAAAAATTAACAAGAGGAACATTTAAAATGGTAACCACATGTAACATTGTTTTTCTGTCTGTTCTCTGAACACTTTAATTGCGATCATATTTTGAGCATTATATTCTGCATGTACATTTCGCTCCTCTATTCTTTCTTCTCTCCTCGCCTTCCTTTCTATTCTCTCTTTCCTTTCTTCCATCTCTGACTGGAATTTCCTGACTGCAGTCTCATTTCTGTTTGCTAAAAAAGTAAATTATACATGTCAGCTATAAAATAACCAGAATGTCGATTTAATGAATTTGAGTATGATTACTCAAGGTTAAAGGTCGGCCCACTTTACCTGAATCTTGGCCCACTTTATCTAACACATTCAGCCAAAGTGGGCCAGCAATATTTAAACACCTTACACTAACATTTTTTTATTTTATTTGATTCTTTGCATTTTGTTCCCTGTTAATTGTTGTAACAAACAAAGCAGGAACTTTCCCAGTAATAGCCTATTTGTTTCCAATTAGTGAGCAACCTTATAATGTAGAAATGAAAATCTTATGTCGAAGGGTTTTCTATCTTTCACCATAAGGCAGTGCTCTTTTAAGGTGAGGCCACACCCACCAGTGTCAACCAAACTATTTGAAACTCTTTAATTAAGAACCGTTGTTATGCTCTGAAAGTGTAAATCCATTGAGCACAGTACAATCAAACACTTTACCTGAATCCACCCTACATGAATGTCTCTGGGCTAAGACCCTATAGACCCGCCCCTGATGGATACATATTTTTGGTTGGTTTCGTTTCCATTGTGATCCCGCGGTTCATGCAGGATTGAAGTTGGCAGGTGAATTTGGCGGGCTGCTAAAGCGTGCGCTTTCTATTTCTCAGAGAACCGTTAGCACTAATGAATGAACATGCCCGGGAAAAATGAGCGCAATTTTCTCTCACATCCACTCATTTTCCACTTCGCCCTCTGCAGATCACCGCACTCATTCTAGAACGACAAGAGGAGAGAGTTCGCCTCCAAACTGATAAATACTGAGAAGCAGAACATTTCTGACACAATTAACCGATCGCCATATTTACAATCCACGTCATGCAAAACAACCGAGTGCGCATTTGTTTTTACCTTTCAAACGCAGAGCCAACAATAGAATAACTGTAAACACTTTTAAATCATAGTTTGTCTCTGTATACTGCTATTTGAATAGTATTTGCATCTAAAATCTTGGTGTCTCCTCTGAACAGTCACCGAAACATCAGAAGACAAACCTTTAACCGGCGACGTAGAAACAAACATTTGAGAAGCTGTGGGGGGAAGCAGTGAAAGTGTAGGTCTTATTTCTTGGTTTCATGTTGAAAGGGTGTTTGTTGTGAATATTTAGATATATTGACTTTGTTCATACATTCTTTGTTTAGCTCACAGGAAGCGTTTAAAACTGCATGTAGTGAGAAATCTACTCACCCTCTGATAAAAGTTGATCTAGTTCACATATTTACACACGTGTTGGATGGGACTTACCTGTTTAAAAAGCTGTTGTTCAGCATTAGCTTATTAGGTTTACATTTAAATTTTATGAATTAAATACTTACATTTTTTGTAATCTGACTCTAAATGTTTGTATCTCAGGGGATACGTCGCCCTTTTACATTTTTGTGATGTCAACTTCAAATTCGGAACATAACTGTCGCCCTTTTACATTTTTGTGATGTCAACTTTAAATTCGGAACATAACTGTCGCCCTTTTACATTTTTGTGATGTCAACTTCAAATTCGGAACATAACTTGGTTAGACATATGGATTTGTACAATATTTTACAATATTTTATATAAAATAACAAAAAAAGTATCTTTACTGTAAACTTCTATAACTTTTTATACTTTTTTTAAATGCGTTCACTTCAGCAATAATCTGCTATGTGTTTTCTTTAAAAAGAGACCAACCTTAGGTCTGTATTCCAAACTGTTCAGCATTGATAAACAAGTGTTCTGTTTTGAGTCAAGTTTTGGAAAAAATAATGAAATTGTATTATTTGAGTCCCAATAAGATGGAAAATAGCAATACATTAATTTTCTGATGTTAAATAACAAAAAAAGTATCTTTACTGTAAACTTCTATAACTTTTTTATACTTTTTTTAAAATGCGTTCATTTCAGCAATAATCTGCTATGTGTTTTCTTTAAAAAGAGACCAACCTTAGGTCTGTATTCCAAACTGTTCAGCATTGATAAACAAGTGTTCTGTTTTGAGTCAAGTTTTGGAAAAAATAATGAAATTGTATTATTTGAGTCCCAATAAGATGGAAAATAGCAATACATGAATTTTCTGATGTTTCTTTATAGTTT